CTTTCACAGCCTGACCCCAGCGGCTCTGAGAATGCCGACGGACAGCTGCGCCGAGTGCAGCCACAGCAGCCCTTGCCGGGTGCCAGCTGGACGTGCCTGGCCACCACGCGGGGATGTCAGAGCAGAGCGGCAGGCCACCCTTCCGCCAGCAGGAAGCCCAGCCGCAAACACTTGGACAGGAAGCCTGTGTGTTGGCCAGCTGAGACAGCTCTGGTTTCTCTTGTGTCTGAGGGTTTTGGCCTCTGGGTAGAGGAAAGCGAGCCAGGTGCTGTGGGCTCCGCTGATGGGGCCACGGACTCCCCCTTGAGTTTGGGTTGCGGGTTCAAGGGTGTGAGCCGAAAAGCATCCTCCAAGCGGCGGCAGGGGAGGTGTTTCCTGGAGGAAGGGCGAGGGAGCAGGGAACACGATGTTTACCAGGACGGGGCCAGCTGGCGGCTGCTGTCCTCCCGATGCCTTTGTGCTGGCTCCAGGGACGATAGGGTTGATGGTTCAGGCCTCCAGTGCAAACCCGGGCTGGCTCCCATTTCCTGGCTGTCTCTACCTCTGGGAACACACACTGCAGTCTCATGGGGTTGGGATGCCCACGTGTTCCTTCCTGGCTTTCAGGGTGACTCCTCAAGGGTGCCAAGCTGTGTTGTGAGAGAATTACTGAAAACAGAGAGTGGTTGGCCAGGGATAAATATGGATTTTGCATGCAGGGCTGACTTTTTTTTTTTACTCCTGATTATATATATGTAAATATCTAGAAGGCAGTCTGTGCTTCCATATAACAGTCACGAAGGCCCCCGGGATCACAGGACTCTTAGACTTTTCACAAGCCTCATGATCCAGTAAGAGATGTCTGGTGTCAGGTACTCAGGTAAGCAGATTGGCGTAAGGTCACACAACTCAGCAGTGGCAGAGCCTGGGCTGCCGCGATGACTTCTGCCACTCTAGAAAGAGAATGAAGAGGTTTCTTTTCAAAATAGATGAGCATCTATCTGAGCATGCTCACCCGGGGCATGTGCTCTGGGCTCACATCCCTGGGGGACTCTGCTTGTAGCATTAGTCAGTTCTGGGTTACCTTGAAGCGCTTTTCTTTTTTGCCGTTTGAATAATCCAGGTTTTATTCGACTTTGTGGCTTTGATTCTGGACCCGGGTGCAGCAACATTTTCTATAAAAGCTGCCTGGTAAACATGCTAAGCTTTGTGGGACATCCGTTATGGGTGGCCATGACTCAATTTTTTGCTGTGGAGATGTAAAAGTAGCTAGACATAATACATAATCAAGTGGTCTTAGTCTGTGTCCCAATAAAACTTTATCCACCAAACAGGCAGTGGGCCAGAATTGGTCCCCCAAGCCACAGTTTGTTGGCCTTAAAACTCCTTCAAACCAAAATTATTATTATTTTTAGACAGAGTCTCACTTGGTCAGGCTGGCTTTGAACTCACTAAGAGTTAGAGTTAATCCAATGACTGCTAAGTGAACAAATTAGCTTTGTAAGAAGATCATTTTAGGTACTACTCCTTGTACTTCATTCTGCGGCCCCCGAGTGGGAACAATGCGATGTTACCCTCATCTCCTTGAAGGAATACATAGGCTGGTTTGAACCGGTTCTGCTCTGGTTACTCCGGCAGGTCGCTCATCTTCCTCATCTTTGCTCCTCTGTGAAATGTGGGACAACCCCAGCCTCGGAGGACTGCAGTAAGATAGGGGGTGAACAGAAAGCCTGAGGAGGTTCAGTGGGGAGGGCCGGAGAGTTGGCAAGAATCGTTACCTGAGAGGAGCGGTGCCGGTATTGAGTCACCGTGTCCCGGCAGGTTGGGGTCGAGCCTCAGTGTCCTCCTGTGTGGCATCCCAAACCCACTCTGCCCAAAATGACCTCTTCATCTCCACTGCTTCCTCCTCCTCCATCTCTCTAGACCCCAAACCAGAAGCCCTCCAGCCCCCATTGCCTCTTCTCCATGTCCTGCCTGGTTGGGGGGGATGGACATCAGCTTTCTTTCTTTTTCTTTTCTTTTTTGGTTTTTCGAGATAGGGTTTCTCTGTGTAGTTTTGCGCCTTTCCTGGAACTCTCTTTGTAGACCAGGCTGGCCTCGAACTCACAGAGATCCGCCTGGCTCTGCCTCCCGAGTGCTGGGATTAAAGGCGTGTGCCACCACCGCCTGGCGCTGTCTGCTTTTTAATAGGTTTATTGAGAAACAATCCAGATAGCCTGCAATGGACCAGTTTGATGATGATTCAAAGGTTTTCAAGTTTCCAAAGTTGTATAATCAGGGCTGGAGAGATGGCTCAGCCGTTAAGAGCACTGGCTGCTCTTCCAGAGGTCTTGAGTTCAATTCCCAGCAACCACTTGGTGGCTCACAACCGTCTATATTGAGATCTGGTGCTCTCTTCTGGCTTGCAGGTATACATACAAAGCACTCATACATAAAATATAAATAAATAAATAAATAAAAAATACAAAGTTGTATAATCATTATTACAATGATTTAGAGCATTTCCATCATCCCTAAAAACAAAATCCCAGAGGTACTGTTGTCCCTTCTTCTTAGCCCTCAGCTACAGTTGAGGCTAGCTTACTGTACATCTGCCATTAGAGACCTGCCTGCTCTGAACATTTCATACAAATGGAGTTATACCATCTACGGTCTTGGGGTCTAGCTTCTTTCACTTAGCTTAATATTTTCAATCCTCCTCCATTTTGTTGCCCTTATCCATACTTTCACTGTTTTTTAAGGGCTGATCATATCCCATGGCATGGATTTAGGACATTTTATTTACCCATTCATGAACTGTAAAATTTTAGTACGTCATTCAAAGAAGGAAAAAAAAAAAAAGCAAGGAGGAGCTCAAGGAAATCACAGCCCCCATGGGATTTGATGGAATAATAACTGGACAAAATGGAACAACTGGGCATTGATCTGATGTCTGGGTAAAGAACAATGACTCAGCAGAGGAAGACTGGTTTCCCAAGCTCCCTCCACACCAGGGCGGTGGGATGAGGACTCACGTTCTCCTGACCTCCAACCCTGTTAACATATCCAGCCACTTCATACACCAGAGTGTGGAAAACAGATGAAGTCCCTAGGGAGTGTGTATTGTTGACATGAGTATGGCCATGTCAGGGACGCCAATGCCTCAGACTTATGGGGATGGCAAGGCTTTTCCTGGGTCAGGCTCGGGGAACCGCAAGGCTTGTCTTCGGTCCAAGTTTGAAGGTTGACCTTTGGTTAAAAATGGTACATTGAAAAAAGACTGCAGGGTCACCCGCCTCCCTCCCTGCACCCAGCCAGTTCCCCTAGAGACCCTTTATATAGAGACCAGCTAACCCATCTCCTTGTTCATGCTGTGTGTGACAAACACCCTGAATATCTTGGCGGCTGGTCTGTTTCATCTGAGCGCATGGCCCACTTAAGTCTGTCTTTCTTAAAATCCAGTCGCTCCCAGCCAGGTTTCCAGGACCCTGCCTCGTGGACAGAGGCACCAGGACCTTCAGGATGTGCGTCCAGGCAAACACAGAAGCAAGGGGAACGCATAAGCCTGGTCACCTTAGTTTTATTCTGTGTCTTAGAAAAACAATTAGAACTTAAGATCCCGGTGTAGGTCTGGAGTTACTTTTGGAGAATGATTTTAAAGACGGGGAGCCACTTTCTGTCACAGTAACAGACACGGAGATTGTCAACTGTCAGGCTGAAAAGCCTTCCGCTGGCTCAAAGGCCTGAAGGTTTCAGTCTGGGATAGACAACGGTTGCTGTGTGTCTGCCGCGGTGGGAGCGTGTAGCAAACAAAAGAAAAAGAGGAAAGAGACAGCCAGAGCCCTACAGTCGGGGTGTGCATACCTGTGTCCTGAAGGTGTCTCGCCAGGCCACACCTCTTAAAGATGTCATCCTTTACCACATGGGCCTTGAGGGGGCATCTATGAGCCAAACTATAACAAACTGGTATTGCACCCCGCTCATTTGAAATTCTGGATCTCACTCCACCTCACTCTCAGCCTTCTATCACCATCAGCAGGAAGACTGTATTAAAAACTCAAGAATTAAGTGTCTTACAGCTGGAAGACGCCTCATCACGCCTATCCTGGCAGGGCTCACAGAGGGAAGATGGCGGTCCAGGACTTGTCCCTGGCGGGGGCAGGCAGTGTTTGCAGAGCCCCATCTGTCTGCGGTTTTCTAACAAGCCACAGAGACCGCCTCTGCGCATGCTGCCGCCGCCCCAGGATAGTAGCTGCCTCTCTCTCAGAAACGGCTCTTGCAGCCCCCCTGCCTTTGTATGTTCCCACTGGCTTCACGCTGTCAGGCAGAGGCATGTGATTAGCAGGCTGTGAAGGGTGGAGAGCCAAGGCCTGCTCTCCTCTGGCCTCCATACCAGCAGGGGGGCCATGCTCTCACCTATTTTGGGATTCTTCTAAAACAGGGGAAAAAAAAAAAAAACTTTGGATACTGTATGGTCAAAAAAACAACAACAGGTGTCCATGACGGTTCTAAATATAGTGTTCTCAAGCAAGCAAAACACAGAGCTTTGTCCCATCAACAATGCCAGTGTCAGGCAATGAGTCAGATAACTGGCAGGCAGGAATGGCAGGAGACGGACACTTTTGACAGGTTGTGTCCTGGGCGAGTGTCTCAGAGGGAGGACAGGATGAGCTGGATGGGGGACTGGGGTCCAGCAGAGAATGAGATGTTTCTAGCAGCCAGGAGTGTGCCCTACAAGCAACTGGTAGATGGAAGAGGTAGGGAAGGCATGCTGCCTAGAAGTCTTCAGTAGACATTGGTAGGTGGGACCAGGTTCCCACGGGTACAGAGCAAGGTGGTTGGCTTGCCTATCTACCACAGAGGCCACTAGTCCATGTGACATTTTGGTTCTTATTTTTATTTTTTGGTTATTAGAGACAGGGTTTCTCTGTGTAGCTTTGTGCCTTTCCTGGAGCTCACTCTGTAGCCCAGGCTGGCCTCGAACTCACAGAGATCCGCCTGCCTCTGCCTCCCGAGTGTTGGGATTAAAGGTGTGTGCCACCACTGCCTGGCAGTTCTTATTAAATGATACTCTCACATGGGGCTGGAGAGATGGAGCAGAGGTTAGGATCACTTGCTCCTCAGAGGACCTGGGTTCGGTTCCTAGCACCCATGTTGGGCTGTTATATGTTGTCTTCTGGCTCCAAGATGTTGCATTCTTGGAGAATGTCCCCATCCCCAAACTTGCTGGTATCTGTCCCCTGTGGCTACAGCAGCTGTCTATGTTTGGTGGGGTCCCAAGGAACCCAGTTTAAAAAAAAAAAAAAAGCAACCTTTTTTTTTCTTCCTAAGTATAGAAGTAACTTTGAGGAATGATGACCTTGACTTAGCTGAAGAAAAGCAAGGCTTCAGGTGTGAGGCCACACAGGCTTCCTCACACAGCCTCTGGAAAGGATAGATAGCCTTTCTTGTCTGCCAGGGTCTTGCACAGATGGGCAGCTATGGGCTTCCATCCAGGGCAGGCCCTGGCCAGGGAAGCTGTTGTTCCAAGGATGGAGAGGCAGGTGTGGGCTCTTCTTTTCTAGTTAAAGTAGCCATCCTGCTCCTGAGGAAAAGCTTATTTGTCCCAGTGCTAAAGGTGGAGGAGGAACTTGAGGGTGGAGGAGTCAGACCTGTCCTGACTTTGGAGGCTCCAGAAATAGCTCAGTGTCTAACATGGAGAGATGGAGAGCCCGGGGCAGGGACTGGTCATCTGCGCCATCACTTGGGAGAGTCACTCAGCCTGACTAAGCTTTGTCCCCAAATCAGTCACTTGGGCATAAAATGACAGTGTGGTGGAAGACACCACCTGGCTGAGTCCTGGCTATATGCTCGGCACAAACCAGCTGCTTCCAAGTCTTCTGCTCAAGCTCAGTATGTATTACAGGTCACATCCCCCAAGCTGCAGGTTGGGGCTCGGGGTTTCCTATCTCTCACTAGCTGCATTTATATCTGAATTATAGACTTGTGGGTTTTCAGAGCCGTTAGGGACTCAGATACCATCGGGTCTTGTTGCAGATTAGGTAACTGGTGTTACAAGTGGGGGAGGGAGGGGGCAGCTAGGCAGAGGGCCGTGTGGGGGTTAGAGATGACATGGGGGACTTCTCCATCCTCTCCCCCCCACTACTTCCTGGACCCAGTCATTCAGGAACAGTCCAGTCCACCTCACCAGAAGAAGCCAGGAAACCTGCAGGGCCCCCAATCCATCCTGGTTGCTGCAGGGCTCAGTTCCTAGCAACCATTGCCTGGAGGTGTCTCCTGCATGGTCTAGTGATTTCTCCAGCATGTCCTGACTCCTTGCTTCGGCCTGGATCAGGGACTTTAGATCTCGAGCTCTTTTTTCTTCCTGTTTTATGTCATGATGATAACTCAGGCCATCTGAGATTCTGGGGTAGCTGTCCCCAACCCAGCCTGGAAAGAGATAAGGAGATTTTGTATATGTGTGTGATTTATTTTTTCATATGTTCCCACTTTATTGCTTTTAAACTAAAAAAAAATTAGATTTACTAATTTAATGCAAACCAATCCCTAAACTCAAAGTATCTTATGATAAAAGAATTCACTTTTCTTACATTGAAAAGACTCAAAGCACAAAAGATATATTGCAAAATCAATTTTCATCTTTAAGTAAATACAAATGAGCCAAAGTTTCACTAGGCCTTGACCAGAAGTAGGGTGTACTTACACCAATGGACACCCACACCTTTGTATGTGAGCACAGGACACATGATAGTCATTTGCTCTAGACACACGTGCTTTGGGGAGCTTGGTTTCTATTGAGCTTGATGACAAGAAGCAAGGAATGTTCTTCTGGAAGAGAAACATAGGCAGGCCATGTGGAGCTCACTCACAGTTCCTGTTCACGTCACGTGAGAAGAACAGTCACATAACACAAGGCAGAGACCTCGCTTCTCACCTCAGCTTTGGCTGTCCTGAATCTACTGCGAAGTCACTTTCCTCCTGGCTGTCTCTCTCCAGCCTTTGGGGACCCTCCCTGCTGAGCTCTGTCACACAAGGATGGCCCTGGAGTTACAGAGAAGACCCCTGCCCTGGTGTCCTGGGCTGGGATGAGTCCCAGGGATGGCAGCTCAGAGGCAGTGCTGGGGACCATCCCAGGTCACACTGGGAAGTGGGGGTGTCTGTGCTTCTGAAACCCCAGTCGACCATCCTCACCCTCTGCCCGGCTGAGGGAGATCTTTGTGTTACCAGCTTCCAACTGCTCTTGTTTTGTTTTGTTTCTGTGAGTCAAGCTCTCAGATGTTTCCCAACCTAGTCTCAAGTTCCAAATCCTCCTGCCTCTGCTTCCTGAGCCCTGGGATTATAGATGTGCCCCACTCACCGGCCTCAACTGCTCTTCAGTGGGAAAAAATTCTGATCCAAGCGCTTGCTTTGCACATGACCTTATTTATTGAGTAAAAACCTTTCTTTGCCATGTACTTCTGAAGCTCACCTATTCAAATGAGGTCCCTCTTGGAGGGGCAATAAAATTTCAGCCTTGAAACTGTTCCCTCTTTGGTTGGCTGCCTGTTCTTATTTATGGCAGGCTCTGAATTTCAGTCTGGTTTGCGAAGCCCGGCTGTTTATTTTGAACAGAGAGCCTGGGCTTCATCAAAACCGGCAGTATTTTAGAGACTCCGTCCTAAGGTGAAAGTCTGGGGCCTCAGAGTTTAAACCTGAGCCTCCGACCTGAACCCCGCAGGCATAGATTTTGATGTTTCAGAAGCCGCTGTCTCGGAAGAGGATTTACTCTAAAGGGCACCCCTTATCTGTGGGGCATATGCCGTAAGAGCTCCAGGGAGACGGGTAACCCCCAAGGGAGCACAAAGCAATGCGTGTGCTGAGCTTTCTCCCGCACAGACGGACCTATAACTGTTAGGCACAGTAAGAGGTGACCCACAGCTCGCAACAGAGTAGAACACCAGCGACCGTGAACTGGGCTGCATAACCACTGTGCACGTCCGGTTACGCCACTGTGATAAAGTCATGTGACTGTGGCCTCCTTCTGTGTCCGGTATGGTACTGTACTCCAGCCGCTCATCTTCCCGTGACCACGTGAGACAAGGCTAACAGGAAGCACTGCCCGGCCTCTGCGCTGTGTCTGGGTCGTCCGGATTCCTCTTCCCCGGGTCCTTACTAGGAAAGTAGGGGTCGTGTGAACTGAAGTGCCGGGGTGCCGGAAGTCGGTGTAATCGCCGAGAAGACGATGAAGGTGGCCCCAGGGGCTGCGGCGTGGGTTGTGTAGATTCTCTTCTTAACTGAGGGCCAGCAGCACAGGGCTTCCTCGCGTTCTTCAGAACGGAACACAGCTTAGAACTTACGAATTGTAGCTGGCCGTGGTGGCGCCTGACAGCACCTGGGAGATGGAAGCAGGAGGATCAGGAGTTCTAGGCCACCCTGGGTTCCTTAAGACCCTATCTCGAAACAAAACAAAAAGTCCACAAAATTGAACCGTTTATGTTTGTTTCTGGGATTTTTTTCTACTCTGTGTTTTCAGACCACGGTTGACAGTAGATAATAATAGTCCATGGGGGTGAAAACTACAGACAACAGGGGACTCTTTGATGTAAATGAGATTTTCTTCTTATGTGGTCAAAAGAGGCCAATAGCTCCAATTCAACCCAGAGGAAAGTTCGTGGGGGCCAGGCAGGGCACAGCCCGTCACGGGTCTGCTCCCCGGAGGGTGTTTATTGACCTCTGACAGCAGACCAGCTCTATGACCAAGTGCTATGGGTGCCTCACGGGAACAAACCTAACACACAGAAAGCTCTCTCACGTGGGCGCAGGCGGCTCTCCCTAGCTCTACTCACTGCGCGCTGCATGCAGACTTCCTGCAGCCAGGCCTGACTGGTCTCTGGTATCACGGCTGGTTTTAGTGCCAACATGCCACAAATTAGAATCGTCTGGTAGGGAGCCTCAGTCCTGATCGATGTGGGCGACATCTTCTGGTAGCAGCCTGGATGATAAAAAAAAAAAAAAAAGGTATTTCAGATGGTTCTGCAGCCAACGATTCCAAGCTCCCATCGTAGACTAGGGACCAACCACTGTCCAGGAACCTTCCAGCTCTGGTGCCAGATTAGGAATACTGAGGCACCCCGTCTCGTGGACCGAGTAACTACAGGTTGTCGTGTGTTCCCACCCCCAGCCTCCGGCCCCCAAGAGACAGCTATTGTGGGACTTCTTCTCCCACTGTTCAGGGTCGAACCTCAAGGACCCAGTAACTACCATGTTCTCGACTTCTCAGGTGTGATTCTGCTACAGTTCCTATGTTAAAACCTACTTAGCAAATTCATACACACATTTGTATACGTGTGTGTGTGTGTGTGTGTGTGTGTGTGTGTGTGTGTGTGTGCTCATCCCCTCGGACTGCAGTTTCTTCCTTGAGTGCTCCAGTCCCCATCTACAGCTAGGTCTATGTCCCAAAGCTTGCTTTTCTAGTGGAGCATGTCATCTGCTGCAGTCTGTGGTGTGCTGTTCTAGTCTGGAAGCCACCAGCTCCCACCTGACTACAGTTCCATTGGCTCTGAAAACAAACCAGGACGATGCAGACTTGACACCCACATTCTCCCTGCCTCTGGGCCACCTTGGCACTTCCTGTCACCAAAAGACACCTGGTACATCCCAGCACTCAGCTAAAGATCCAAAAATCAAGACTCACCCCTCCCCGCCACCCTCCTCCAATGAAAGGCATGCACTCATCTTTCCATTCTGGAGAATTCTTTCTCCTTCCCACATGTGCCCATTTGCTTGCTCACCACGGCAGCCTCAGACCCAGCACAGGATTCGTCAGATAGCTTAATATGGGATATCGGGGGACCTTCCTTGATGACCTGGCCCTTCCTTATCTCTTAATCTCCATCTCTCAGATTGCCTCAGATTCCCTTAATTAGCAGTTTCTGAACACCTTGTGGCTCTGTGTATTTCCTGGGCCCCTCCACTCCTCCAGAAGCCCGACTTCTGTCTTCACAGATGGCTCTTTTGCTCCCTGATCTATAGAGGGGTTTTGTTTGTTTGGTTTCGGCTTTTAATTTTGGGAGAGAGGATTTCTCTGTGTAGCCCTGGCTGTCCTGGAACTTGTTCTCTAGCCCAGGCTGGCCTCAAACTCATAGAGAGTCAGCCTGCCTCTGCCTCTCGAGAGCTGGGATTAAAGGCGTGCACCACCACCAACTGGCCCTATACAGAATATTCTTAGAGAGCCCATGTCCCATGTCATTGGTCTTGCCTGTTCCCATATTGATTGTTATTTTTGTTGTTGTTTACAGCGGTTGTTCTTGCTGGGCAATGTACCAGGAGACAGGATCTGTGTCTGTCAGTCACTGCATCCAAGTAACGAGTTCCCTAAGTATCTGTCCGTCTAATGAAGATGTAGAAAGTCCCAATGCTGCGTCTAGACCCTTCTGTTCTCGGGTGTTGCGCCTCACTCCATTCGATTCTGGCATTGGCCACTCAGAGGTGTCCTGCTGCCCGTTGGCCTCAAGACCAGCTCCATACGGCTGGCTGTCTCTGAGTGCTGGACTTGCCTGTCCTGTTCATTGCCACAGCAGGCCACTTAGGGTGGAGTGCCCTGATCAGTGCAGTACGATCTGGTTTACTGACCTTGACCTCCTAAGGTGTGTGCAAGGTCCCTGCCTTTCTGCTGTATTCTAAGTGGTTCACCTATGGGGCTCCATGCTTGGAAAGGTACATTGCCCTGTGAACTCCCTTAGGGCAGGGGTGACATCAGTTGGCCCCCATCCCCCGCCCCATCCCCAGAACATCCAGAACAAGAGCATGTGTGTGCCAATAGGTTCCTGGGAAAGCACAGCTGGTTCTGCTGAGTCGATGGGGAGGCTGAAGGGAGGGAAAGAGGGGAAGGCCTCTGGGAATTAGGCCAGCTGGAGGGAAGCGCCGAAGCAGAGGGAGGGCGAAGGAGAAGGACATATTCCTCAGCAGAAGTGGGGCGAAGGGGGAAAGCATGCTGATGACTGTGCAGGAATAGCCAGCACAGAACCACTGGGAGAAACCCGAGGAGAGCAAGGCCTGAGCCACACTGCCTTGTTGAGCAGAGAGCCCAGGGCTCTGCCAGGCACTGGCCACAAGGCAAGGCTGATAGGAAAGGGTGCCTTACCCCACTCACCCGTGAGTGTGCCTTCTGTTTTATCAAGATGAAAGTCAGGCCAGCTGAGTGTTCTCTGTCCTCTCCAGAGCGGGCGTGACAATCGTCCTCTGCCACCACCACCACCAACAACCACGTCTCACCTCTCTTCACCTCTCACACCAAAGGCCACATAATTTCCTGATGCTCACCTTTGGTCCTCGTTTTCACCATCACAGGTCTATGGCTTATACTTTACCTTTAGGAGTCCAGGTTCTGAGAGGTCCAAAGGCTAAGCCAAGGTCATACATCTCTCATTTAGTCTCCTCCTGGGGTAGGTAGGACTAACGCCTGCTCTGGGGGCTGGAGAAGGGAAGAGCATTTGCTGTGCGAGCATGCATGCCTGAGTTCAGATCCCAGCAGCCATGGAAAAAGCCCAGCATGGCCATGAGCGCCTGGAACCCCAGAGCTGGGGGGTGGGGTGGGGAGAAGAGGATGGCTGGGGCTTGCTGGCTGCTGGCCTAGCTCTGGACTCAGTAAGAGACCCTATTTCAAGAGAATAAGGAGAGTGATTGATCAGGACACTCAGGGTTCCCTGGTCTCTGAATTCACACACAGGCATATATTCTTGCATATGCATGTACACCTACACACCATCTCTCTCTCTCTCTCTCTCTCTCTCTCACACACACACACACACACACACACACACACACACACACACACA